CTTGTTTTATTCTACAATGCCAGGTACAACTATTATTACGATCCAAAATTATTATTTTTCATCGATACAGAATCTTTAAAAAACAATTATTTCTCAAATAATGTTATTTTCAAATGTAATACACAATAAATAAGCTTTAATACAACATATTGTAATAAAACGAGACGTAATTACGTTATTTATATTTTTTCTTTTCAATACAAATAATTATTAAAAATTACAAAAGTTACAAAAGTAAGTATAGATAAGTATGTGTATATTGAAAAAACTTATTTTTTTATTTTTATAAATTTTGTTCATTATGATAAAGTAGACCGTGTTTAGCCCGTGTTTTGAGTTTCATTTATGGTTTACTGGATACTTTTGCATTACTACACTACAGCGGAATAGTGTAGTAGTGCAGTAGTGCGTAATAATGCAGTACCGCGCAGTAATGTATAGTAGTGCATAGTAGTGCAGTAGTACAGTAGTATAGTAGTGCCTCAAAATACTACTGCGCACTAGTAGTGCTCAGTATTTTTCTATAAGGGATAGAAGCAAATTTAAGGAAATTTCTAATTACATATCATTAGAATTGATTGATACTTACTTTTCAATCTCAGAGACATACTTCGTGAAGAACTTGCCGCGTTTTCTAAGATTGTTGGAACATTTGCCACCAAAAAGAAGGCCAGCATTGACCAATTTTTCCAGAACCAGTCTCGTTAGTTCACCCATATACATTCCTGAGATCATTTTCTCAAACAGCTGTTTCGTAGGATTAATAGAGTTTTCATCTATGGCACGATCAAAATCGGTTATTACAAAATCTAATATGCCTTCCTCACCAAATGCGCCCCATTCCGTATTGATGAGCATATGAGGTTTGTTTTCAGCATAATTGCCTGGAATCGCGCACTGTACGTTCTTTGTCTTTTCGACATAGCAAGCATTACTTCCGGTACCTGTAAGTGTAAGAGAACTTTATATATTTAAAATTCACAAAGAAATAATCAAATTTGTTATAGGGTATATTATTAGGATGGGAATAAAAATAAAATTTATTATTCCTGTTAAGAGAATTAAATTTTGTTCAGTAATGCTATTTAATAATATAGTTTTAACATTTAAATTTGCAGAATTTAAACGCTAAAATTTGCAAAATTTATTTTAAATTTGAATATAATTTATTTACAAAAATGAATTTTGTATACGTACCAACGATTAAACCAATTCGACAATTTCGATTTTTCCAAGCACATGACATTAAAGTGCCAGTGGTGTCATTTAGGATCGCGCATACATCAATCTTAACATCCTGTAGAAAATATGAATTATTTATATTTATATCAGGCTTATATTCCTTTTTAATATCTCCTTTTATAGTATGAATAGTGTTATTATAATTGAATAATAAAAAAAATCTATAAGTAGATTTAAAAATTTAACAATTTAAGATGAAAACACTAATATTCTACTAAATCTATTTTGCTATTATAAGCTATTTTGAAGCACTTTACAGATGTTGTAGAGATCACATTCATTTTTAATTAATTTTAAAACAAATTTACAATGACTTTACAATGACTTTACAATGACAACAACTTTACAATGACTGTAATTTGTATGACAATTTTTCTTATATCTCTTCTTCAGAAAAAATTATAATCCTAAAATAAAAATCCTAAAATAAAATTATAATCCTAAAATTATAATATTCATACGTTGTATTTACTTATAATGATTTTGTACTTACATTTCTTCTACCAATTGCTTCTTCAAGAAGAGCAACGACATCTTCACCGATTACACCACTACAATTGAAGCCCTTGGTCCATCTCACTAGATGACCCTTCGTCAATCCATATTGGGTAAGGGGAAAGCTAAAGGTGAAGCCTAATGGTAATATTTCATTCTGCAAATTTAATTCCTTTACAAACAATGCCAAACATTGGGCGATGTGATCGAATAGCTGGATACCAGTTCCTAGCATCAAACTTTGAGGTATGGCATAGATCTTGCTTTTCATATCAAAATTTTGACCATCCAATGTGATTAATAACACTCTAAAATTTGTACCGCCTAAATCTAGTGCCAAGAAGTTGCCCTTTTCTAAAAAGAAAGATATTTGATTTGCAGTTATTAATCTGGTATAATTCAGTATCAAACTAGAAATTTTTTCATGTTCTGATTTAATTACACTTTTTTTCAAGATTTGAGTAATTTTGATTGAATTATTCTATATCGGTATTGAATATAATATAACTATTTCTTTAATAAGTTTTTTCTTCATTTTCTTTTTTCTTTGAGAGATTAGAATTTATAAAAATATATTTCTAGAATCATGTTTCGGATCGATAATCATCATAATTTCAATAAAGATTATTATTTTACATGCAAAGAATATCTTTTTCCTATTTTTTGTAATGATTTTTTTCCCCAATATAAAATGCAATTACGTACATGCTTGATAAAATTTTATATCAGAAGACATGGTAGTGTCTCGGATATCAAGTCACTGAGAACACTACCGTGTGACTTTACGCGAGTCGACGAGATGCGAGCATTCAATTTTTACATGAAAGTTTTGAACAATACAAATTACATTCTATTCTTCATATAAACTTCATGCATTTTATTTCGAATTTTATTGTCTTCATGACTATAAAAATTGGATTGAAGTGTGTATTGCCATTTGTAATTATTATCATGCTTTATCATTTACCAGTGCCGTTTGGCAGATCCTGCACGTAGGTAGTAAAGCATTTGACGATTGCATTATCATGGGTTTCCTTCGACAAACCCCTATTGATCTCCTCGGTGAGTTTCTGCATAACCAGTCGGAGCTGGTTATCGGATAGGACAAGGTCCTTACAGGCATCTCGTATCTATAAAGAGAGAAATAAACAATGAGAGATTCGTTATCGATCCACGCGGCGATGTCACTAGGTAACCTTGAATTGTCCTTGAATATCACGCGCGCCGTGCAACGCGGCCGCCGAACGTGAGCATTGCATAACGCTTTTAGTAATACGCATATAACACCGAAAGTCTTCAAGAACGCGAAAGATGATCGATTCTTTTTTCCTATCAATTTGTAATTTCAATTGAAGGCTAGAAAGAAATTCAATTTTTAAACACACTCAAATGTGTCTTTGAATATGTCTATGAATTCTACTAGCAATTCCAAATCAAATTTTCTTTTTCTTTGCTTGTACTAAATTGCGTGTCAATTCTTTAGGATAATTCTTAGAATATCTTTATCTAGAAAAAGTGATTATACAGTTCAACAAAAAAAAAAAACACCAAAACGAGATTAGTCATTTCCTATAGTTCTTTTGGACGCTGAATCCGAATTTAATTGTAAAATTGCTCTATCACGTCAATTGGAGAAATTTGCAGTTAGTTGCAAAAAGTTGCAAAAAAGTACTATTTTCATTAATTTTGTCATATTATAAGTATGAAATGCGACGTGCTGAAGAAGTATTCTTGTAATGAAAATGAAGTGTTGTTACAACTTTGAATCCTCGAAAGGAATTTTTTTGTGTCCGTTATGATTATTTGTTGTTAAACATTACTGCGGAAATGGTGTGAATTTATTGACGATTTATTAAATAGTTCCTAATTTTGTTTATCTAAATCTAAATTTTTTAAATTGAATAAAATTTCGATGTCAAAATTGACAAATTCATGGCGGATTCAATATGTTCTCTATATATTAATTTTTGCAGTAATCCGTACATTTTTAAATTTTGACATCCGCCATATTGAATTCGCCAATTTAAATTTGTCAATTTTGACATCGGATTTATATTCAGAAATTAAAAAAAACATTTAAATTTAGATAAGCAAATAAATAAATCGTCTAATTCACATTTCCGCAATAGACTCCATGTTTAACAATATCTTTTTAATCACAACGGACACAAAAAATTCCTTTTGAGGATTGGAAGTCCCAATAACACACTTCATTTTGATTGCAAGAACACTTCTCTTCTTCATACTTATGATATGATAAAATTCGCGAAAATAACACTTTTTGCAACTTTGCAAATTTCTTTAAATTATGATGTGATAAAGCAATTTTACAATCAGATTCGGATTCAACGTCCAAAAAATTACGGAAAATGATCAATCTCGTTATAAATAAGAAGGGAGGTGTGCGCCACGGCAAAGCCCGACCACGAAACAGTTATGAAAATTCGCAATTATTTTTGCGAAAAATATCAGCTCAGTCAGAATCGAACCTGGATTTCTTGCTTACCGGGCAGGCATCTTATCTTTTCGACCACAGAAGCATGTGATGATATTTATCGCAATAACGTGTTTAAAACAACACATTAAACAATTCAATGTCACACACCACACACACACACACACACACACACACACACACACACACACACACACACACACACACACACACACACACACACACACACACACACACACACACACTACTCTCTCTCT